AGTCTCCTGCATGGGGTGGGAGACGTTGTCCAACAGGGATGACAGCTTAGCAACCATTCTTCTATCACTCACCACCTCCACTGGCTCCAGAGGGCATCCTAGAACACAACAGAAAAGCCTTTTCAGTCTCTTCCTGTCCCCGGCAGAGATGTTGCCATCCCAGCAGACCACCCTGTAAAAGGTGGCTGAGGCCACCACAGAGACATAGAAGGAGTGGCCCTTCACTCCAAAAGACCCGAGTCTCTGCAGCAGGTAGAGCCTGGTCTGCCCTTTTCTGTAGAAGGCATCTGAATTATGAGTCCAGTCCAGTTTATTGTTCAGATAAACACCAAGGTACCTGTAGCTGTCCACAGCCTCAATGTCAATACCTTGAATGTTTAGTGGTTGTAGTGGAGGATGTTTGTGCCTTTTATTTTATTAGTGTTGATCTGGAGGTAGTTCTGCTGGCACCAGTCCACAAAGTCGTGGGTCAGTTCTTTGTACTCCTTGTCGTCCCCATCAGTGATGAGGCTGACTATTGCAGAGTCAACAGAGAACTTCTGCAGGAAGCACTGGGTGGAGTTGTGGGAGAAGTCTGCAGTGTAGATGATGAAGAGGAACAGAGCCAGAACAGTTCCCTGTGGGGCCCCCGTACTGCAGAAGACCCTGTCCGACACACAGCCCTGATTTCTCACATACTGTGGTCAGTCAGTGAGGTAGTCCAGTATCCATGTAGTGGGGTGATGGTCCACTCCTGAGTTCTCCAGCTTGTAACAATACAAATCAACAATAAACATGCCCTGAAAAACACAATAAATCATGAACTCTAATAAATTTAAAAAATACCATCAAATAAAACAATAGAAACAAACAAGACCGTGCTTGCACAATAAAGGCCAGGATGTACTGTACCAACAAGAATAAGTAGGTTTTTATAGGCGTTTTAAAATATTTGGGTGAGGACGGGCAGCAGGTGAGTAAGTGACGGACAAGGTAAGCGACTCATGTTGTAACTGACGTCAGACGCCG